GATTTTATCATTTACAATCGCTAACATAAAATCAAAATGATAAATGTATATAATAGTAACAACGTTTCTTATTGTAAGTAACATCAAAATTATTATCAATGATAATAATCACTAACCTTTAATTCCATCTTTCTTTCTTCGTCTTTCCTCGTATCATCGTCATCAAAACGATTTCGTATAATAAGCAATTCCAATTCAATAATGTATTGTGTTGCCCTTCTTCCTTATCAGTTCCAGATATCAGCAATAGTAATTTATGACTTTTAGGGTGCAGAATGCAATATTCGCTCAAAGAATTTAAAATTTTTGATTTTGATAAGATTTTTCAAGGAAGTAGAATTCATAGTTTGCTTTTCCTTCCTTTTATACATTCAACCTCTTTTAATATACAAATGAGTAAATAAATATTTACTAATATGATATCTTATAAGAAATGATTGGTTAATTATGTAAACATTTAGATAAATTAATTTTCAATCCTGTTAGTATTATTTTAGCCAATGTAATTAAACTTTATTTTCTTCCAATTTGATTCAGTTTAGCATAATTCGATATATGTTTGATGTAGATTTGAATTTTTGTCAAATAAACAAACGAAATCATTCCTAATAAGATTAAGAAGACATCATGGAATAGTTGAAGTGAAAACATGCAGCTAAGCAGAATCTAGATATCAAATTTGAATTTCGAAACTTCATTAAGCTTTGACAGAAAGCTTCAGAAATGGAATTTTAGCTCAATTATTATTTGTCTCAGATATTTCGAGAGGAAAATAAATTTTATGAAAATTTTTTGTCTTAAACGAATAATAATTTAATATCCCATGATAAATTTTTGATCACAATTTTTAATTTGAATTTAAACCAAATAGGTTTAATAATTTAAAAAAAGACTTTTCGATGTTTCGGCGAACGAAATTTTGGAGGGAAATGTGAGGTAAAAAGTTATATCATTTCATTGCGAATGATGCTTGATCGTTTTTAATGCTATTTTTGATTAAAATCAAAATGAGAGATGTGCAAAGCAAATTAAAAAAATTTGTTTGTACTTTGTTGGCGGTTAATTTAAATTTATTTGCTTAAATTTATTTTTAAAATGCCATCCTATCATATGAGAAGTTTTCTGATAAAACAGGAAACAAAGCGTTACACTTTTTTTTTCTTACTGAAAAAAATGAACAAATATTTTTGCTTCTCAATTTCATTTCTTCTAAATTTAAAACATTCATAAGCATTTTTCAAATTTTTCAAGAAACAAAAAAAAAAATTAAACTATTTGAAGCGTTTAATATGATGAGAACATATTTATAATAAATATGTGTGATAATCATATGCCGTTCATACTTTTTAAAAACATATTTTTACCGAATTAAATAACTGAAATTATTTGATCAAAATAGAGAGTTTAAACATTTAAAATTAAAACTAGCAATATATTCCCCTTCTACAACAACATACATTTTTCAAACCAATTCATTCTCATTTTTCAACTTCTAATAGGTTGATGAAAAAATGAAGCGGAATTTAATTGTCATTTGAAAATATCACTTTATCACTCTATCAGTTTCCTTTTTTCCTTCATATTAGAGTATGGATAATTTTGTTGAATTAATAGCAAATATTTTGGAAATGAAAAATTGTTAAAAATAAATTTTCCATTTTGTGAAAAAATTTTACTCGATCAAAAAAGTAATAACAAATGAAGAATATTCGTAAAAATTGAAATAATAAATAGCTTTAATGAGATTAATACGGAAATAATCTCTCCCTCTCTCTCTCCCTCTCTCTCTTCCTCTCTCTCTCCCTCTCTCTCTCTCTCTCTCTCTCTCTCATGCAGCCATCAAATGATAAAAAAGGTGACAGCTACTACGAGACATATTGTGTCAACTATTATGTCATCCAATTGCAATTCCTCTTTGATGTTTTCTGTTTGAAATACGAAGAATTTTATTATGGAACTTTGCAGGAAGGAAAAATAATTGCTGTATAATAGCACAGTTGATAGAAATTGATTAAAAGAGATAAGATAAATTTCTGGTTGTAAATTTTTTTTTTTGAAATGTGAAATTTTTTGATACAAAGGAAGTGTATGCTAATCATTGATGTATTTATTATTAAATTAAAAATAAATAGCATTCTTTTGATGCATAAATTATTTAACATTATCATAAATTCATCATTGCAAAATAAAATAACATTTACAAAATTATACGTAAAGCTGAAAAAACTATTCTGAAACACGTGAAGTACGTGAAATAAAAAAATTAAAAATGAATTTCTTTTTTTCTCTTATTGTTATAAAAACAAATCGTCGAATCAAACAATTCTTCTTCCCTTTACTCTTTTCTCTCCATTCTCTTGGCACCAAAAAAAACCCGATAAAACAAGAAATTGTCAATCCAATCCATTTCAATCCTTCTTCAATTTCAAAAAGGAAGTCACAAGAATCTCGAAGTGTAATAGTAAAGATTTCTCCTGAGATATCTTAATCCCTTACTCCCACTTCTACTGGAAAACATTTGCGATAATTTTTTGATGTCCAAAATGAATTCTTTTTTCTTTTCCTCATCAAACTTTCGTCAAAAACAATGCTAAATGTCGCTTTACATTCTATGTAAAATTTTTTTTCTTTTCATTTTATGAATTTGGAAAATCGTACCCTTCCTCGCTTTTTTCTTTATCTTCTCATCAAATTTCTGTCTTCAATCCATTTCACAAATTTAAAAAGAAAAAAATTGATGGCTTCTTTCTATATCCATTCCAAAAATTAATTTATTTATATTTGGCAAGTTTTGACTGAAAAACTTGTCAGGAAAATGAATGAAATTTCTTTTTTGTTTTTTCAATTGTTAAATATCACTGCCAATTTTTTAATGATACAATATAGCACCATAAAAATAATGTTATATAATTTTATCGCATCTGATTTTTAACTGTTTACCAATTTTTTTTTACAAAATATTTGCGAAAAGAAGTTCGAAGTTATAAAAGTCAATTAACAAATAAATAATATATCCCAAATAAGTGTAGAATGCAATTCTGATTTCAGTAATTAAGTCATTCAGTATAACAATGGATGCGGTTATGATAAAGCCGGCAGTATCATTAATGAAAATGGTTATCATTTTTCTCATATGTTTTGCACTGAATGCATGCAAGAACAGATATTAGCAATTAATGCATTAAATGAATTTCTTTTCGTTATTCTAATTTATTAATTAATTGATGTGATATAATAAAGTGATAGCAGATTTTTTATATAAATATATGCATGCAATAATTAAGCAACTATTACTATCTTGTAGCAATGATAACATTTATCATATCAATGGAAAGAAATACAACATTTGAAATTTTAAACTTTCCTATTCATGCAGCTATCGATCAATAAATGTTGACATTTGATAAATTTAAAAACCATTCGTTACATAATTTCAATCGATCTTCGAGGCTTAGAAGCTCTATTACTAATACTTTTATTAACATTATCACTGCTTACGAATGCTTCTGCTGCTGCCGTTGTCGTTACTGCCTTAAGATAAAAAGCCTTATGATAGATTAATAAAAGGCCTCTTTTGCCACTTTCTTTTCAATGCTTTCTCTTTCATTGACATTTTGGCATGAAATGCTATCATATAATTTGTTTCCTTACAATTCTTTTGGTCTTAATGGTTTAATTTGAGCTAATTTTTGTGTAAACTTTTATTAACGAATTTTTTATTCAAAACAATATACTAAATAAGGATATTAAAATAAAATTAATGGTTATTAAATTAATTAAAATGATAGAAAGATATTATAGAAATGGTTACATTTGGACTTTTGTATATTTTCTTGCTACCAATCATTTACTGTAACGAAGATGTCAGTCGTCTATTCGAAGATTTGTTGGTTGATTACAATAAACTTGTTCGACCAGTGGACAATAAAACAAATGCATTGGTTGTTCGTTTTAAGCTGAAATTATCACAGTTGCTTGATGTGGTCAATTTTTTTTCTATTTTATTTTGTTTAAATTTACTACTCGAGGTATACTGTGTGATATCTGTCATATCGTTCGAATGTAATTCCTTTTTGAAGTTTTCAAAGAGATTGAAATTTTTATTGTTATAGTTGGATAATTATTTTCACTTGTTTTGATAAATTAAATGTACTTTTTTTTCTTTCAGCATGAAAAGAATCAAATTATGACGACAAATGTTTGGCTTCAACATGTATTTTAAATCCGTTACTAAAATTTTGCAAATTTTTCATAGAATTAGATGTCTTTGAAATAAATAATATACAGCAATTGAAATTTTGACTACAATTCTCATATCTCCGTATAATAATAAAAGATATTTAGCAATTTGTTATCAACTTTTTAAAATTTTTTTTGCTAAAAAATATCTCTGAATAGTTTTTAAAAAAGCAGTCAAAATTGGCAGTCATTTGCAGATTTCATTAATTTTCGAATTGTAGACATGGACAGATATCAAACTGAGATGGAATCCGGATGAGTACGGTGGAGTAAATATGCTATATGTTCCATCTGATATGATTTGGATTCCGGATATTGTGCTTTACAATAAGTTTGAACCTTTTTTTATTCGAAGAAAAAAACATCATACAATTATTTGTATTAAAGTAATACGAGCATTTTCTTGCAAAAATTATGGATTAACACTTTTATATTTAATGAAAACTTTAGAAAAATGACAAAACAAGAGATATCTTATAATGAATCAATAATTCAATTCTTAAAAAATTTCATTATGACTGATAATATTACAGCGCTGATGGAAACTATCAAGTTTCACTTTCGACCAAAGCTAAATTATCTTTTAATGGTACTGTAGAATGGACACCACCAGCAATTTACAAAAGGTTAATTCTTTCAAAATTTAGCAAATTTTTTCAAATTCATTTCTAAAAATATTTCTTCCATTTCTCGAAATGACTACTTTTTAAAAGGTTTTTATCATTTATTTACATTGAAACAATTTCAGTATGTGCCAAATTAATGTGGAATGGTTTCCCTTCGATGAGCAAACTTGTGAAATGAAATTTGGTACATTTGAATTAAAAATAATAAAAATTTTTTAACTTTTCATCTAATGTTTTTAAAATATTATCCTAATTTTCTATTTAAAATATTATTATAATTGATTGTACTACAAAAATTTATCATAATTTTCTTTTTCTTATAGGTTCATGGACATATGGTGGTTTAGAGGTTGATTTAAAGCATAAAGATTCGGATATTGAACGAAAAGTAAAGGAAATAAGTGTAGGAGTTGATGGTGAGCATATCGAAACAGTTTGGATTGTTGATAAAGGTCAAATATATTATTATTTCTGTAATAAAATACGTCAATTATTGATTTTTTGCTACGAACTTCTTTGTTTTAAAAAAAGAATTTAAAAAAATTAGATAAAATAAAAAATAACTTATTATTAAAATAAAGCAAGTTTAATGTATTATATATAATATTTTGAGATTTTACTCAGGCATTGATCTAAGTGATTATTATCCAAGTGTAGAATGGGATATACTCGGTGTATCTGGTAAACGTCATGAAATTAGGTTTTTTTAATAATTTTTAAAATTAAAAAGAAAAAAACTTCTGATCCATCAATAATCATCTAAATCTGAAACGACATTTCATCAATCATTTTTCGTTTGTAATAAAATAAAATAATGATTTTGAAAGAAAAAAACGAATCAATTTTTCTGTTGACAATATTTGAAAAATTCTACGGAAAGACGTTCATTTCACAAGTTATTTCTATTAATATTTCAAATATTTCATGAAAATTTGAGATATCCATGTTGTGAATCACCATTCATTGACCTCACGTACGAAATTCATCTTCGTCGAAAAACATTATTCTACACGGTTAATCTCATTTTTCCAATTGTTGGAATAAGGTAAGTGTATATTAATTGCATTAATTTTTAGAGGACTTTATATCAAAAGTCATTTCAATTTGCACCTTTTTAGCGGCTCTAAGCTTTTGATTTAATCATTTGTCTGAAACCTAACCTTTACAATCTGACCTTTTATGTTGATTTGACTTACTCAGAAATGATACAATGGTATTGCTTCATTTCAGCTTTCTTGCGGCGTTAGTATTTTATTTACCATCTGATGGTGGTGAAAAGATTTCATTTTGCATATCAATTCTAATTTCATTAACCATATTTTTCTTATTGCTTGGTATGTTTCATTCAGAAAAGCTGCAATAAATTTTATTTTGAAATTTATTTAAAATACATATTTCAACTTATTTGCTCTCAACATCTCTACGATTTAATAATTATATAATAACTTGCTAAATTTTAATAAAGCTAAAATTAGTTTTGACTAATTGTAATAAAAAATTACAATTACTTCATGAATTTTCAATTTGCTTCCCTCATGTTAACTCAAACTTTTGCAGCTTATCATATTTATCAAATGAAATTTTAATTTATTCTATTTGTTAATGTAATTTTTTTATTACAATTGGTCAAGCTTCTTCTATTGTAACAATTTTCACTGCAAATTGAAATTAGCATTTTCCAATTCATTGTCACTGTTACAACAAAAAATTGGAAAAATGCTACTTTTTTGCTGGTGGCAAAAAATCGAGCTTTAAAATTAATTAAAAGTTTTAATATTTTTATGAGTTTTAATTTTTTTTTAAAGCATTTTTTTCAAACTAATTAAACTGATAATATTTTTTGAGAAGAATTTAATTGGTTTTTGGTGTGTTTAAACGATATTGGTAA